GGGTGTGGTGGAGCTGGAGGGGAGTGTGGAGCGGACAAGGGAGTCACTGAGAGAGTGGTCCCTCCGGAAAGCAGATAAAGGTGGGGAGGGAAAGATGTCTTTGGTGGTGGGGTCGGATTGCAGATGGCGGAAGTGTCGGAGGATGATACGTTGGATCCGGAGGTTGGTGGGGTGGTACGTGAGGACGAGGGGGATTCTTTTTTGGTTCTTATTGCGTGAACGGGGTGTGAGGGATGAGGTGCGGGAGATGTGGGAGGCACGGTTGAGGGCGTTCTCGACCACCGAGGGCGGGGAAGTTACGGTCCTTGAAAAACGAGGACAACTGAGATGTACGGGAATGGAATGCCTCATCCTGGGAGCAGATGCGGCGGAGGCGAAGGAATTGGGAACACGGGATAGCATTTTTGCAGGAAGGTGGGTGGGAGGAGGAGTATTCTAGGTAGCTGTGGAAGTCGGTGGGCTTGAAATGAATATCGGTTTCTAGGTGGTTGCCCGATATGGAGACAGAGAGGTCCAGGAAGGGGAGAGAGGTGTTAGAGATGGTCCAGGTAAACTTAAGGTTGGGGTGGAAGGTGTTAGTGAAGTGGATGAACTGTTCGAGCTCCTCGTGGGAGCACGAGGCGGCGCCGATACAGTCATCAATGTAACGGAGGAAGAAGTGGGGTTTAGGGCCGGTGTAGGTACGGAAGAGGGATTGTTCCACGTAACCTTCAAAGAGGCAGGCGTAGCTTGGGCCCATGCGGGTACCCATGGCTACCCCCTTTGTCTGTAGGAAGTGGGAGGAATTGAAAGAGAAGTTGTTGAGTGTGAGGACGAGTTCGGCTAAGCAGATGAGGGTATCAGTGGAGGGGGACTGGTCGGGCCTGCGGGACAGGAAGAAGCGGAGGGCCTTAAGGCCATCTGCATGGGGAATGCAGGTGTGGAGGGACTGGACGTCCATGGTAAAGATGAGGTGTTGGGGACCGGGGAATTGGAAGTTCTGGAGGAGATGGAGGGCGTGGGTGGTGTCACGGACATAGGTAGGGAGTTCCTGGACCAAGGGGGAGAAAATGAAGTCCAGATAGTTGGAGGTCAGTTCGGTGGGGCAGGAGCAGGCGGAGACAATGGGTCGACCAGGGCATTCAGGTTTGTGGATTTTGGGAAGGAGATAGAAGCGGGCAGTGCTTGTAAAACATGATGACGATGATAATTAATGATAAGATCCTGAATGCAACTGCTATTTCTATTTGCTTTTTAGGTTTTACTGTCTTACCAAGATCTTAAATATATGATATCAGTTAAAAATACTAGATGATAAAGATGTTCAGGACAGAAAGACTTGAAGAACAAGAAGTATCACATTACACATTTGCTTTAATAATTCAACTGTACTTATTAAACTCAGCTTTGTAACAAGTAAAAAAATTCAGATATACATTTTAACATCACAGTGAATGATTACAAATATTATACAGCAGGTTCTGCTACCATACATTAAGCCTGCATGTTAACTTGGTACCTATTACATGTTTTCACACCTGGATAAGCCCAACACTAGTATGCAGAATGAGGCTGTTTGCATATACAGAGGAGCAGCATAGACCTAATCAACATTGGAGAATGAAGATTGAGGCAGCAATAACTACAAAAACAAGCTGTCAATAATTCTCAAAGAGCTGAGATCACCCTTACATTGGAGGATGTAACAAAATGTTAACGCAACTTCCACTGACAAATATAATTTAGCAGTGACCCTTATACAATATTAATTTGAGGGGCTCTGAAAGTCTGTTTGAAATGTTAATAGAGTTGTTCAATTCGAAATGAAATACATTTTACGTTTTCAGTTTAAAATAAACACCTATAAATCACTGATGAATGAACTTCTAAATATTTATTTTCCCGATGGTAATTTAACCAAGTATATTAACGGTGCACCATTGATGTTTAACCCATGAAGCAATGAGAACATATGCAAAGCATTTAATTCTATCACTATTCATGAAAACATTTTAATGTATTGGTGCACTGATATTACATTTCTAAGAATCAAATATTAGATACAGCAGCATTATTGTCTGGATTGTTTTCCTGGAACATGTCAATCCTCTACCTTTAATGGTGCATTCAACTATTAATAATCTAGAAGTTCATATCAGTACTGCATACATAATAACTTTTAAAAGCTGCATTGCAGTGGCAGCACTGCTAGATTCTGCATAAGGTAGAGAATTCCCCCATATCGTCTCCCCCTCCCCTAAAGCATCATAACAATGTAAAGGACTACAGTCAATACCGCTGTTAATAGTCTATATACATACAAAGCCAATTTGTTCACACATGACAGGTGCACTATGTATCCGACCTGAGCAGATGTCACTGTGTTCTTCATCAGCAGTAAGTCAAAGGAGCACTTGGAAGAGGTTCTGAAGGTTGCACATAAAAGCTGAATGGTTTGCTTAAGAACATGCTTCTTGCGGATGGTAGATCAAACAATTTCCTTCCCTCCACCCATCATATTCCACGAACGGGCTTCAGCTCCGGGTATTCACCTTCATGCCAACTTTCATCTCATTTTAACAGATGCTTCAGCTGGTCTTGAAGATTTGTAGAAAGTTCGACACTGTCGAAACATTTAATTGAGGGAAGAAGAAAGTGCCTTATTTGATCTGGTTTTACACCAACATTTCTTACTTTTATAAATACCATCAGCATTCCTCCCTCATGATTTTGTTTTCCATCAATCCAGACAACAGACGAAATAGGTTGTGCAAACAGAGAAATATTTACATCTTAGGGAGGTACACTTTAGTGTTTAAACACCCTGTCTTTCAAATGCCTGGGAGGATAGATACAGCTCCATACCTGTTCTCATTCATTTAATTGTCAATTAAATTTGCTATGAACGTTTGAATTAAGACCAGGAGTAAGCTATTTTGGCTCATCGAGCTTCCCAGTCATTCAGTAAAATTAAGATGTGAAGGTGCTGGTGTTGGACTGGGATGGACAAAACTAGAAGTCACACGACACGGGAGTATAGTCCAACAGGTTTATTTAAGGTTTACGTTCTGAGGAAGGGTCACCGGACCCGAAACGTTAACTCTGTTTTCTCCTCCACAGATGCTGCCAAACCTGCTGAGCTTTTCCAGCAACTTTGTTTTTGTTCCTGATTTACAGCATCTGCAGTTCTTTTGGTTTTTACTTTGTTGAATTTGAAATCACAAGCTGCTCCGAAAGCTTGTGATTTCAAATAAACCTGTTGGACTATACCTTGCTATCGTGTGACTTCCAACTCAGTAAAATTACAGCTGACTGGATTACTCCATATCACCTCATACCCTTAAAAACCTTTCAACTCCTTGCTTAACAAGAATCTATCTACTTCTGCCTTCAAAATATTCAAAAGGCATTGCGTTAGTACAGTAGATTTCTAGAAGGGATTGATAAGATACAATCTCAAAAGGTTATTGGGGAAAATTGAGGTTTGTTGGTATATAGGGTAACATGTTAACAGGGATAGTCGACTAGCTAGCTAACTGGAACAGTAGCCATTAATGGGTCATTTTCTGGCTGGCAAGATATAACAAGTTGTACACCACAGGCATCAATGCTGGAGCCTCAAGTTTTTATAATTTATTGAAGTGGCTTGGGAGCCCTAGTTCTAGATTCTCTTACAGGAGGAAACATCTTTTCCACATTTGCCCTGTTAAGACTCCTCAGGATTTTATGGTTCAATCTGTCCAACCTTTCTTCATAAAGCAACCTGCCCATTCCAGGCATTAGTCTAATAAACTTTCTCTGAGCTCCTTCCAACACATATACGTCTTTCCTTAAGTAAGGAGACCAATACTATACACAGTATTCTCAACAAAGCCTTGTATAACTGAAGCATATGTCCTCCTTATTTCTGTGTTCAATTCACCTTGCAATAAACAATAACGTTCTGTTAGCTTTCCTAATTACTTGCTCTACCTGCATACTTAACTTTTGCAATTCTTTAATTAGGATAGCCAAATCTCTCTGCATCTCAGAGCTGTGCAGTCTTTCACCATTTAGTTAATATGGTTAGTTATTATTTAGTTAATATGGTTAGTTCCAGCCAAAGTGGTCAATTTCACATTTCCCCACATCACACTCCATTGCTAGATCTTTGTCCGCTCACATAAGTTGTCCATATCCTTTCATAGACTCCTTATGTCCTCTACACAACTTACTTTTCTTCCTCGCTTAGTGCTTTCAGCAAATTTAGCAACCATACCTTTGATCATTTCATCCAAGTCACCTCAATAAATTATAAAATCTTGAGGCTCCAGCACTGATGCCTGTGGCATACGACTCATTACATCTTGTCAATCAGAAATTTACCCATTAATGCCTACTTTTTCCTGTTAGCTAGCTAGTCTATTATCTAATGTTACCCCTTACACCACAAATTTCTACTTTCCACAATAACCTTTGAGTTTGCACCTTATCAAATCCTTTCTGGAAATCTAATACAGAACCCACTGCACTTCCCCTTTGTCCACAGGGCACACTACTTGGTTAATCTTGATTTGCTTTTCATAAAACCATGTTGACTCTGCCTGATTATCTTGAACCTTTCTAAGTGACCTGCTATAATGTCCATCTTTAATAATAGCATCTAACATTTTCCCTATAACAGATGTAAAGCTAAATTATGATGTATAGTTTCTTACTTTCGGTCTCCTTCCCTTTTTGTACAAAGGATTTACATTCATTTTCTTTCCAATCTAATTGAAACATCCTGTAATTGCAACTGCAACTGCAATGAATCACATGTAAATAAATGGCAAGATTGAAACCTTATTCAGCTTGTGGCTCACTCTATTACTATCACTGAGAGTTGTCAGCTGTTTCACACACTGCTCATCTGTAAGGATGATCGGACCTTTCAGCTAGTGAAAGCTTGAAATCAATAAACACCTTTGCTTTATTTGAGATTTTATTTAGGAGCACAGAGTTTTATTGCAGCTCATGGAACAAGAGGTGAAAGACCTCTCTGGATCCTGATATATATCAATTTTCTTCAAAAGGCAGATCTTTATCTTGTTTCTTTATCGATTATCTCTCCACATCCCTCTTCCATTCTTGTAACTTCCTTTGGGCTTACAACCTCTGTGCCTCATACACATTCCAATTTTAACTTCTTAATTGTCAGTTGTGCTTACATGTGCCAATTCCCCAACATCTGGAAGTTTCTCCCTACACCTTTTTCTTGCAATCTACTTTTGGTCATCTCTCCTCACATGTTCTTATGTGACTCAATAACACCGTTCTATATGATAACACCTTGGGACAGTTCACTACATAATGGTGCAGTATAAACATAATTTGTTGAAAATGAGTGATTTTCAAGCAGTTACAACACGTGATTGAACATATGAATGATCAGATCGAGTGAATGGAAAAGGGTCAAACGTGTTTTTGCCATCTTGCGCAAGTGTTTTCACAAGCAAGAGATTTCAAAAGGTCACCACTAGGGAGACGTTAAAACATCTTAGAGGATGACGATCCCTCACATGCAGTGAGGTTGGATGTGTGCATTTGGGGGAATGGGGTGAACTTCAATCCACAAACAATCTAAAGTTTTATCCTTCCTGAGTGACCATCAGAATTTTCTTTTTCCTTATTTGCACCAATACAAAGAAACTCAGAACAAAACAGCAGAGACAATTAGGTGTAGAACAGAAGAACATAGAACACCACAGCGCAGAAACAGGCCTCTCGGCCCACCATATCTGTGCTGACTATGAAACCATTCTAAACTAATTCCATCTACCTGCACACTGTCTGTAACCTTCTATTCACTGCTTGTACATATGTCTGTCTAAATATCTCTTAAATGTTGTTATCGTATCTGTTCTACCATCTCCCCCAACAGCACGTACCAGGCACCTAATACCCTCTGTGTAAAAATCTTTCCCACCTCACCTCAAACCTATGCTGCCTACATTTTGACAGTTCCACCCTGGGAAAAAGACTTCAACTATCCACTCTATCCTGCCTCTCCCAATTTTATATATTTCGATCAGATCGTCCCTCAGTTTCCAATGCTCTCACAAAAACAATGCAAATTTGTCCAATCTCTCCTTAAAGCTAATACACACCAATACAGCCAACATCCTGGTAAAGCTCTTCTGGACCCTCTCCAGAGCCTCCACATCTTTCCTATAGTGTGATGATGAGAGCTGCACACAATACTCCCAATGTCGTCTAATTAAAGTTTTATACATCTGCAACATGACTTGCTAACTTTTATATTCAATGCCCTGACCAATGAAGGCAAGCATGTCATATCCGTTCTTTATCACCCCTTCAGGGAGCTATGAACTTGCACCCAAAGATCCCTCTATATATCAATGCTTCTAAGGGTCCTGTCATTTACTGCATACCTTTGTCCTACAACTGACCTCCCAAAATACATCACTTCACACTTGTCCAGGTTAAACTCCATCTGCTATTTGTCCTCCCAACTTTCCAACTAATCTATATTCTGCTGTATCCTTTGATGACTTTCCTCACTATTCACGACTCTAAAAATTTTCATGTCTGCAAACTTACTAATCGGTCCACCTACATTTTCATCCAAATCATTTATATATAATAGAAACAACAGAGTTCCTTGCGGAACACCACTGGTCCCAGACCTCCAGTCAGAAAAACACCACTCAGCAACTACGCTTTGTCTACTATGACCAAGCCAATTTTGTATCCAACTTACTGAATTTTAAAAAAGAACTGAAAATAACGTGAGTCAGACAGTTGGAATACAGGGTTTAGATTCGATTTGTAAACTGTGCTCACCTTTCCAAATGTCACTCTTTAATTCAGGCATTAATTTCTCTGGCATACATCTTGTGTACTATTAGCTGTTCTTTTATGCATATGCCATAGCAAGAGACAATCTGCCATGCATGCAACATGTCAGTAGATCATCCACGTGCATATGTTTAGTAAAGCAAAGAACTAGGGACGTTGAAATGTGAAACAAAGACAGAAATTGCTGGAAATTCTCAGCAGGTCTGACAGTATCTGTGGACAGAAAGTAGAGATAATGTTTCAAGTCCAGTTCTGAAGTAGGCTCACTGGACTCAAAACATTAACTCGGCTTTCTCTCCAGAAATGCTGTCAGACCTCCTGAGTTTCTCCAGCAATTTCTGTTTTTGCATCTGTGTAATGTTAGACTATGCATCACGCATGTAATAAAATAGCCAACCAATGCAACATCATAGCAACCTCAACAACACTTCTGCAATTCTCCCCATGTACAGCTCGTCAAAATATAGCCCAGAAAAAAAATCAGCAACATTTAGAAGGAGAACTAAAATGGACAAATATTTTGAGCAGTCACCACCTTGCACTTTCTGATTCTGATTGACTTATAGAGTCACACAATCACAGTCATAGAGCACAGAAACAGACCGTTCAGTCATATCAGTCCATGCCAACCATAATCCCAACTAAACTAATTCCACCTGCCTTGGCTTGGCCCATATCCCTCCAAACATTTCTTATTCATGGACCTACCTAAACACCTTTTAAACGTTGTACCTGTACCCACATCCACCACTTCCTCTGGAAGTTCATTCCACACATGAACCACCCTCTGTGTAGAAAAAATTGCTCCTGTGTTTTTTTAAAATCTTTCTCCGCTCACCTTAAAAATATGCCCCATGGTCTTGAAAGCCCACACCTTAGGGAAAAGACACCTGCCATTCATCTTATCTATACCCCTCATACCCCTAAACCTCTATAGGGTCACCTCTCAACCTCCTACGCTCCAGTGAAAGAAGTCCCAGCCTATCCAGCCTCTTCCTATAACTCAAACATTCCATTCCCAGCAACATCCTTGTAAATCCCTTCTGAACTATTTCCAGTTTAATAATATCCTTCCCATAACAGGGCGACCAGAACTGGACACAGTATTCCAGAAGACATCTCACCAACATCCTGTACAACCTCAATATAACGTCCCAACTCCTATACTAAAACATCTGAGCAATGAAAGCAAGTGTGCTAAGTGCCTTCTTAACCCCCAATCTATATGTGATGCAAAATTCAAAGAATTATGTACCTGAAACCCCTAGGTCTCTGTTCTACAACATTACCCAAGGCCCTGTTTTTCATTGTATAAGTCCTGCCTTTGTCTGTTTTATCAAAATGCAAGACCTTGCATTTATCCAAAATAAACTCCATCTGCCACTCTTCAGCCCATTCACTCAATTGATCAATTGTGCATCTCCAGCGTTTTGTATCTTCCTCATAGATTTCCAACATTTGTATGAACCACTGTCTGATGCTGAACCAGGCTGCTTGGATGTCATGCTGCCCTAGATGGCCCTGAACTGAGCTTTCAACCCATTATCTTCTCTGTCTGCAAATCTGCTGACTACTACCTCCACATCCATTTCACAATGCCACCATGCCACCGCTCACCTCCTTTTGAATCCCTCATTCGCATAACGAGCATGACACTCAGAAATAGAGAGATCAAGATATTTCTTGGTTAGAAAATAACAACATTTTAATTAAAGTTCAGTTTAAGAATCTGCAAACAACAGCTTAGCAAATACTCACTTTTTCTGTATAGCTTCCTGCCTGTAAAGAGGAAGTAGTTTAGGGTTAGTTAAAAGAAACTTAATTGCAGGCATAAACCAGATCAAATAAGTTTTATCAAAAGCATTTTCTTTGGAGTCTAACAAATCTGCTTCCCATTTATGGAAAAGAGATTAAACAACATAATACTGAATCCCAGAGAACAGAGCATGAATCATAAAAAAAAAGCATCCAAGTTCAGCAGGTAAATGGGCTACAGGTCTTCATTTCAAAAGGAGTGGAGTATAAAAGGTTTTGCTAAAACTACACAAGGCACTGGTATGACTATATCTGGAATACTATGAACAGTTTACGCATCCCCTATTTAGGGAAAGATACTGGCATTGGAGGTACGTTAGAAAAGATTCACTCTGCTGTTTCCAATTATGGAGGGACTTTCTTATGAGGAGAGGTTGAATAGGTCAGGCCTGTACACACTGGAATTTAGAAGGAATGAGATTATATAAAATTCTTAGGAGACCTGACAGAATGGATGTGGAGGGGTTGTTTCCTCTGTGGAAGAGTCTAGGACCAACGGTGGGGGTGGGGATTGGGGATAATCTCAGAGTAAGGGATTTTTTATGGAATTCTTTGCCACAGAGGACTGTTGAAGCTGAGTCATTAAGTATATTCGAGGCTGAGGTAGACAGATGTTTAAATCAGTTAGGGGAGCAAGGTTTATAGGGAAAGTTTATAGGCCAGAAAGTGGAATTGAAGATATCAGATCAGCTATGATCTCATTGAATGGCACAGCAGACTAGATGGACCAAATGGCTTCCTACTGCCTCCTACATCTTATGGACCAGGCTTGTGACAGTTGAATCAAAGCACCATTAAATTATTTCCTTTTCCCTACGTCTCATTACTGTACACATTTTTGCATTCTAAATTTCCCTCAGTTTCTTGTTCTCTTGCTCCAATTTTACTTCTTTCTTGAGTCAAGCCCTCACGGCAACTTCTCAATTTAGGGTTTGACAGCTTTACACTGAACATTTTTTTTTTGTCAGAAGGAGCTCAGAACCTGACATTGGATGATAAAAAATATTCAAACATTGGATAAGGGAAAGAAGGGAAGAGCACGAAGACAGAAGGAATAATACTTACTGGTACTGCAGATGTGTTGTAATAATGGCCATCTTTCGCAGGCTCTGTCAAAAACAAGGAGAAAATGACGAAGACAATATTGTGAAGAAATGAAGTGATTAAGAATAACAAAATGAGGTTAACAGAGCAGAAAGAAACTATAATGTCTCACATTAATCCATGGAATTTTGTATACCCCAGTCTCTGGACTAGTATCTATCCCTCAAGCAACAGAATTAAAAATGTGTATCTGATCATTAGCACATTGCTTGCAGACGGTATTTCCGCACGTTTACAAAATACACTTCATAAAATACTTCACTGGCTGCAAAGTATGGTGAAATCCTTGAGGTTGTGAATGTGATTATACTAAGGGTTTAAGAGATGTATTTTGTCCTGGGATTTTTGTTTTCAACAGAGGTTTTAAGACAAAGGTGCTGAACTGTCCATTGAAAGCCCATGAAGTAAACAGCTTGAGAGGCCTCAGGTTTTTTTTTATGTTGGAACAATAGAAGCAGCCTGAATGGGTGAGGTCAAACTCCCACAGAACCAGCATTTTTAGTTTTAGTTACTGGGTCCTGCAGTGAAGATTTCACCTAACAAAGGAGCAGCACTCCAAAAGCTTATGATTTCAAGTAAACCTGTTGGATTATAGTCTGGTGTCATGTGACTTCTGACTTAAAAATATGCTCCTTAGTCTTGAAATCCCCCTTCTTAGGAAAAAGACACCTACCATCAGTTATTCCAATTTCTTCTTGTTGTTGTTGTATTTTAACTATAGTGTATGAATAAAGTGTGTTTTGCTTCAAATCTTATAGTTTAACCAGAATGCAACATCTTACACTTACTCTTAAAGTAAGAAAAAGTTAGGGTCTAGACAATGTTCTTAATGTATCTTGATGGGGCTTGGTCTGGTCCATAACATATTTGGGGCTTTATGATTGCAGCTTTTCCAAACTTCAATTTAAAGAAGTTCTACAAGGCGCATTTTTATATGAAAATGGCAGATTTTATATTTCACACTGAATTTGTATTCTGCATAAGCGTATGAAAGTTGATTCGCTCCCATTGGCTTCTATTTATTGTCTCTCATGAATTGTGGCCAAACTTTCACATTTAGTATGACAGATGGATCCTTGATTTAACATCTCACACGAAGATAATGGATGAGATTGCACTGGCCTTCTTTAGACCTGCACTGGGGCTGTCAGCTGAGGTTTGAGTTCTGGACTCATGTATGAAGCTACAATAGTTGGAACCTACATTTTGTAGATATACTTTTCTGTTGATTCTGACAAATATATAAACAGAATTTGTGCTTTGAGAACCAGCTGTGACGTAAGCATAATTATTTCCCAGGGGAGTGCTTTGATGCAAGTGGTTGAGAGATAAAACACTCACATCCTCAGAATGTAGTATCGAATCCTCTTGCATCACCATGTTTCTAGCTGCTTGACCAAGGAGCTGAAATGGGAAACAAAATCACAACTTACTCCTTAAAACACTGCAGACTATGTAAACTTTTTAACAGCAAATATTAATGGCTCACCAGGTAGGATTAACATGCACTAGTGCAATTTTCAGAACTTTCAGAAACTTCAACTTGATTGAAAGTACAGTCTCAGTGGAGTGTATTTCAGGAGTAGGGAGAAACCAAAAACAGAAACTACATTTCACTCCTTTAGGCCACTTACAACAGTAATTCTGAGGCTGTGAAACAGTATTTGTTATTATGAACCCAAGTTGCCCCCCGCAAGATAAGTTGGAGGAAGAAGATAAGCAACTAGATTATCTGTTTTAGTGTGGACAGTGGGGTAAAAATTGGCCAAAGCCTATGAATTTCTTCAAACAGACCGTAGGACTTTTATATCTGTCTGAGAGGAAATATGGGGGCCTCGTGTTAGCATTTCATCCAAAAAAAAACCTCAGGCAGTGAAGTAGTTCTTCAATCATCAGCTAAGATTATGTAATCAAAGTTCTGCAGCACAGTTTGAGTCTGTAAGCCACAGACACAATGAAGAACCATCACTAACAGAAAGTGAGTGTAAACCCACTGAGATTTGGTGGGGAAAGCAGGGCTGATGTGGTGTAGTGGTAGTGTCCCTACCTCTGGACCAGTACGCCCATGTTCAACTCCCACCTGCTCCAGAGATGTGTAATAACATCTCTGAACAGGTTGGTTAGAAAACATCAAACTGACACTTAACAGTTAATGATTGGATGATGTTGGCAAACAAAATAAAAACCACAAGAAAATATAAAGAAAACTTCTGTTGTTCAACAACTACTGACTTAAAAGTTCCCAGAAAAGCCTCGTCCTATAGCTGGATTAAAAATATTCTAAATGAAACAGCCTTGAAACATCAACAGCAGGTCCTGAACAGAGAGGTCTCTACTGTGACTACTGTAAAGATGAGGGCCCAAACAAAGGACAGTACTTCTCCAAAGGAAACGTACTGTACCTTTGAAAGTAAAAAACAAAGGACATGACATGAATAATCTAAAAAATAAATCCATAAGTAAGTAAACTTCAACACTGCACCAAGATGCTTTGTTCATATTGGCCTCACTTCAAATTATTCCCACTGAGACCAAAGCAAGTGTTAATATCCCCAAATACTATCACCAGATACAACTCAAATGAAAATCGATTACTATACTACGAGGTACCTCAATAGTTCAGATTAACCGAGTGCAAACAAGTTAAAGAAACATTCAGTCGAGTGTTTATCTCTGCCACAATATACTAACTCAACGTTATTACAATTATGCCGCTCTTCCTCAAGTCTGCTCCCCGATTGGTTTGCACTCAAAACTACAAAAGAAACTACAAAGTTTGAAAACAAATCTTATTAAGAGTTTTCATCTCACTGAGGAGTCTGCAGGCCAATCCACATCCAACAACCTTCTCTGAAAAAGTTGCTCACACATTTTGTCAGCTGTGACAAGTTCCACCATAACAGCTGCCACAAACCACACATTCAAAATAAATGATAAAAAGTTAATTCTCTCCATCCCTCATGTTAAAAAATCCTTGAAAAAGGATTCAGATCTGCACATTCACCAAAAATTAATCCATTCTTAAAAACCGAAAGAACTGCGGAAGCTGTAAATCAGGAACAAAACCAGAAGTTGCTGGAAAAGCTCAGCAGGTCTGGCAGCATCTGTGAAGAAAAGATCAGAGTTAACATTTCGGGTTCAGCGACCCTTCCTCAGATGCCAGAGGTAAATTTCACTTACCCACCAGTTCACTCAGTGACAATGCTGAAGATATGCAAATTTAAGAAATTTGCAACTTTGAAAAAATATCTTCCTTTTGGAAAGAAAAACATACTTATTTGCATTCAACATCCATTCCTAAATATAACACTGTATATAGTCCTTGCCTGGTCTGGCCTATATCTGATTTCAGACCCACAGCAATGTGATTGTCTCTTAACTACCCTCCGAAATGGTCTAGCAAGCAACTCAGAAACAAAAACAGAAATTGCTGGAAAAGCTCAGCAGGTCTGGCAGCATCTGTGGAGAGAAATCAGAGTTAACATTTTGGGTCAGGCGACTGTTCCTCAGACTTACAGCATCTGCAGTTCTTTCAGGTCTTATTTAGCAAGCAACTCAGTTACATCAAAAAAACGACACAAAGTCTCAAGAATTGGACAGGTGTCCTGGTGTCAAGCTGGCACTGGAAACAAAAATGGCAAATCCCACCCCAAATCAGATCACATGGGATTCTGGGAGAGCTTGCCAATTGGATCCAAACTGGCTTGATGGTAGTTTTTCAGACCGGAGACCTGTGATCAGCAATGTTCCGCAGGAATCGGTGCTGGGTTCATTGTTGTTTGTCATTTATATAAACAATTTGGACTGGAATATAGGAAGCATGGTTAGTAAGTGTGCAGGTGACACCAAAATCGGTGGGAAGAGTAGATAATGAGGAAGGTTATCTAATATTACAAAGGGATCTTGATCAATTGGGTCAATGGGCCAAGGAGCAGCAGATGCAGCTTAATTTGGATAAGTGTGATGTATTGCACTTTAGTAAGACAAATGAGGGCAAGACTTACACAGTTAATGGTAAGATCCTAGAAAGACCTAGGTTCAGGTACATAGTTCATTGCAAGTTGTGTCAGAGGTAGACATAATGGTAAAGAAGGCGTTTGGCATGGTTGCCTTCACTGCTCAGACCATTGAGTATCGGAGTTGGGATGTCACGTTGCTGTTGTATAGGATGTTCGTGAGGCCACTTCTGGAGAATTGTGTAAAGTTCTGGTTGCCCTGCTATCGGAAGGTTATTATTAAACTGGACAGGGTGCAGAAAAAATTAACAAGGATGTTGCCAGGACTGGAGGGTTTGAGGTCTAAGGAGAGGCTGGATAAGCTGGGACTTTTCTCAACTGGAGTGTAGGAGGTTGAGGGGTGACCTTATGGAGGTTGATAATATCATGAGGGGCATTTTTTTTAAGGTGAATAGCAAAGGTCTTTCCCTATGGTGGTGAGTTCAAAACTACAGGGCATAATTTTAAGGTGAGAGGAGAGAGATTTAAAAGGGCCCTGAGAAGTATGTGAAATGAACTGCCTGAGCAAGTGGTGAATGCAAGTACAGTTACAACATTTAAAAGACATTTGGACAGGTACAAGAATAGGAAAGATTTAGAGGAATATGGACCAAATGCAGGCAAATGGGACTAATTTAGTTTGGGAAACTTGATTAGCATGGATGAGTTGGACTGAAGGGTCTGTTTCTGTGCTGTCTGACTCTACATTATGCATGCAAGATCCCATTTCCAAGTTACCTTTTGATTCAGTCCATGAATTTGCTTTTGAATATGCTTTGAATCAAAGCAATAAGTCTTTACCGATCACTGGAAGAAATGCTGGTATTTCATCACAGCTTTTCTGAATAATGCAACCACTTCACACACATGCAATAAACACTCAGCACCGAAACAGAGCTGCATTGTCAGATGTGCCATCTTTCAGACAGACCTCTGGAACTCCCTCCTTGAACTTCTCCATCTATCTCTTTGTTCTTTAAGAAACTGCTTAAAACCTCCATTTTTGACCAAGACTCCGGCCATCCTCCCAGATATTGTCTTTACAGCATACAATCTAATTTTGTTTCATAAGTGGCCTAGGAAGCAGCTATGAGTGCCTTATGATTCCAAACATTATTGTTAAAATGTTTGTTTGAGATGATTGCCACCTTCCTCGGAGGGTGGAAAAGATCCCGGGACCATTAGACGAAAAAGAGGAAGTCTGTCTCCCTACCTCGCTATCCTGGCCAGCATCCGCCCCTCAATGAACAGCACTAAAGCATGAAAACAGAACAAAGAACTGTGGAGATCTGAAATAAACAAAGGTAGAAAATGCTGGAGAAACTCATAAGGTCTGGTTGCAGCTGTGAAGAGAAAACAAAGTTAACGTCTCGAATCTGGTGACCCTTCTTTAGAAGTAATAGCAGCTAGGAAAAAGTGATACAAATGCTGACGATGGTGAGTGGGTGGCGAAAGGAGTGAATGGATAGGGGGCCCAGAGAACGAGAGAAAAAGAAAGGCTGGCAGATGAAAGAATTGTTGATTAGTAAGCCAGAGAAGAAGATCTACAGTATTGCGTGCAGTTCTGGATTTCATGCTACAGGAGGAATGTGACAGCAATGGAGACGGTGCAGAGGAGATTTACCAGGATGTCACCTGGGCTAGAGAGTTTTGGTCAAGAAGAGACTTTGGACAGACTGGGGTTGTTATCCTTACAGCAAAGGCAATTGTGGGAGGAGAACTTGGTTGAGATGTATAAAATGATGAGGGGAACAGATAAGGTAGACAGAGAGAGGCTTTTCCCTTTGAAGGGATCAGTGACCAGGGCATTAGATTTAATACAATACAGCTCTGAAACAGGCCCTTCAGCCCACCGAGCCTGCGCCGATTCCAAATCCTTACTTAGACGCGCTATTATTGCCCATGTGCAGTTTCTATCCCTCAGTTCACCTCCCAGTCATGTCTCTACCATGATACACCTTAAACATTGCTAACGTGCCTGCTTCCACCATCTCCACTGGCTGTGCGTTCCAGGCACCCAACACCCTCCATGTGAAAAATTTTCCCCACACCTTTCCCCTTGAACCTTTTCCCTCTTGTAGTTGCCCTTTCCACCCTGGTAAAAAGCCTCTGAATATCCATCCTATCTACTCCTCCGTAATTTTGTAGATCTCTATCAGGTCAGTCCCTCAACCTCTGTCTTTCCAGTGAAAACAATTCAAGTTTATCCAACCTCTACTCATAACTAAATTCCTCCAGGCCAGGCGATATCATGGTAAACCTTCTCTGCAGTTCTCCAAAGCATCCACCTCCTTCTGGCAGTGTGGTGACCAGGACTGCATGCAATATTTTTAGAGGAGACCGCTTTGTGGAGCACCTGTACTCGGTTTGTGACAAACGACTACACCTCCCAGTCACGAACCACTTCAACTCTCCCTCCCACTCCTTGGACGACATGTCAATCCTACGCCTCCTCCAGTGCCACAACGATGCCACCCAAAGGCTGGAGGAACAGCACCTCATATTCCTCTTGGGAACCCTGCAGCCCAATGGTCTCAATGTGGACTTCACGAGCTTCAAAATCTCCCCTCCCCCGACCGCATCCCAAAACCAGCCCAGCTCGTCCCCGCCTCCTTGACCTGTCCATCTTTTCTCCCACCTACCCACCCCTTCCTCCAAACTGACCAACCCCCATCCCTACGCTCACCTTTACTGGCTCCATCCCCGCCTCCTTACTCTGTCCATCTTCTCTCCACCTATCTGCTCCTCTATCCACTCTCCATCATTGCCTTCCCCTGTCTATTTATTTCAGAATCCCCTTCCCCTCCCCCATTTCTGAAGAAGGGTCCAGATCCGAAACGTCAGCTTTCCTGCTGCTCTGATGCTGCCTGGCCTGCTGTGTTCATCCAGCTCTACAACTTGTTATCTTAGACTCCAGCATCGGCAGTTCCTACTATCTCTAAGAAGTATTTTTGATGTGCACTTGCGATGCCAAAGGATACAAGGCTATGGGTCAAGAGCTGCAAAATCAGATTTGAATAGTCAGGCAAAATTTTTTGACTGGTCTGGACATAACGGGCTTTTTTCTCTGCTGTAGATCTCTATGGCTCGAACAGAAGCTAGCAAGGTGATAACGATGAGTTGTCGAAAATGGATTGGCTGCATTGAAACCACCCCATTTCATGGACTCCAAACGTTAACTCTGTTTTTCTCTCTCTTCAAAGATGCTGCCAGACCTACTGAGTGTCTCCAGCATCTTCTGTTTTCGCTTCAAGACTGGACTTGGGGTGGGAGGTAGTATGGGTCCACAAGCAAAAACAGAAATTGCTGGAAAACCTCAGCAGGTCCAGCCAGCATCTGTGGAGAGAAATCAGAGTTAACAATTCAGGTCCGGTGGCCCTTCCCCAGAACTGTACGGGGCAGGGGGGGGAGGTACAGGGTACAGCACTGTACATAAGAACTAGGAGCAGGATCTTTTCGTGGACTCAGATCCACTTACCCGCGTTCTCACCGTATCCTTTAATTCCTTTATTGTTCAAAAAAAATCTACCTTATCTTTAAGAACGTTTACTGAAGTAGCGTCAACTACTTCACTGGGCAAGGAATTCCATAGATTAACAACCCTCTGGATGAAGAAGTTCCTTCTCAATTCAGTACGGGGTCTCCTGGTCATTCCCTGCCTGTGGGATCTTGCTGTGTACAGAATGGCTGCCAACCACCACAAAGCACACCGCAGGCGGTAAGGCACTCCCTCAGTCCTGCACTGAGACACCAGCTAGGGTCACCAGGTCAAGTCTCTCCCCAACCCACCCCTTCCACCCCTCCCCCTGGAGTTGAAGTTGAGCTCAGGACCTCTTGGGAGGCTGGGAATGGGGGAAGTGAGTGAGGGGGGGGGGTGGGGGA